GGAGCTCCTACCAAACCCTAACATTTAGCCATTTGTCTTTAATGCATTGCACACAAATCAACATATTCAGTGAGTCAGAGCAATGACATGACTTACAAACAAGCTGGCAGAAAAATATGCATCTTGGTCTATTATATTATGTCTTGAGTATAGCAAATTGCATTCCAGGAAGCAAAAACCAGGAAAGCAAATGACATATACCTGACAGATGGACACTGAAGTCACTAACAGAGCACTTGATTACTCAGGTCATCCCAGCTGAACCATCTCCTTGAAATGTTCTCCTGGCTAAGCAGCACTGATCGACAGGAGCAGATAGGATTGGGAGTTTCCAGGTAGGCAATAAGAGAGAGAATCTGTATTTTAAAGGAAGAGCTGCTCTGAGTAGGCAGTAGGGCTGACCTGCAAGAAAACAAGGCTTTGGTGCACAGCCTGAACACACTTGGAAAAGAAGTGAACTTGGATGGGTGTAATGGCTAAATGCTGTAACACCTGATTATTCTGTAGCTTCTGTGGTTACACAAATTCTAACAGCAACATTTGTTCCTTACTTTTCAGTGCATCTTTCTTGAACAGGAGGCTTGGAAACATCTAGCTCACACCACCAGCACAGAGGAGACACTCCTGCATTCCCAACACCTGCTTCAGAGGAACCAGACAAATGTGCTCTGCTCTGTCCACAGAAGCAAAAGATCAGTCTAAGCCAAAACAAACAGCTGAGGGATGATACTGGTATAGGCTGATGCAAATTTAGGATTACCTAGATCCAGTGACAATCAGCCTATGGAGACACTGTGTAAATGGAATTGTTTTAAATGAGTAAAATCTCGGAACATCAAATATTAAACAGAGGGGAGAAAAAGGCTGTAAATGAGAGGTTTGACAACTGCAATTTAACATGACACACCGAAATATTCTGATTCTTATCCACATCTGCAAAATCTGACATGTGTATTACAATCTTACTTCACAAAGAGCCTCTGAGAACACTTAACATACCTGCACAAGTATATTTCCTTTTAAGTTCTTCTAAAGGACCTTTATAAGAACATCAGAATCTATGCTACAGTATTATGACATTTCTTAAATACTCCAAGGAACAAATAAAAAACTGTTCATGGCAACACAGAAAGCTCATCCTTCCCACCTGATTTACTGTTTTATCATTTCTGTTAGGACAAATCCACTCATTTTAGCAGTGATCATTATCTAATATTTATATTCCCAAACAGAAATGTAACTCATCCTATTAACATTTTCATATCAAAGCATCTCAGCAGTTACACACAGACACTAATAAAATCACAGCATGTGATGTACAGCCCAGAGCACCAGTTTAGCTGCAGCATTCCAATGTAGGATAATACTAACATGGAATGCAGGAGTCACCTGCTTCAGAGCAATCAACACTGAAAAGAGATTTTTATGATAGAAATAATTTTTAATTCTTCATAGAGACAAAAAATCTAGAGGGACAAAAAAGAAACTCTCCCCCATATCAAAGTATATCCAGTCATCCCCATCAGCTGGCACTCAGGAGATGCAAATGGCTCTTGAGTCCTGCAAAGTCTCCAAGTGGAATAAGTCAGCAGCACTTATCATCTGTAACTTCTTCTCTTGCCAGTTGCTGGGACAACAATACATCTCTCTCTTTGCCTGAGGCTGGAAGCTTTAAGCACACTGAGAAGCAGGAGACTAGTGGTATGACTCCAAACCTCTTCAGCACCTTTTCTTCATCTAAAATTTAATTCTACAAGTGAAGCACATGAATAGCTTTTAAAATACAACTCAGAATATATAAACTGCATAGGTTCACCATCACCCTTGGCAAAGTGATAATGGAAAAACAATACAAATTGAATTGAAAGTCAATCAAGCTTTCTTACCTACATGTTTAATGGTGCTACAGTGCTAGGTATGTACTTTCTGAAGTACATTACCAAGATTGTCTTCCTCTACATTTTGCAAGCAATACAATTTTCCTTGGAAGGCTGAAAGACAGAGGTGGCTGTGGAACACTAGCCTTTATCTCTGCATGCCAGCAACAACTTCCTTGCAGGATGGTTATATATCAATTTCCTCTCCAAGCATCTCTCTTGACTGATCAGCCCTTAAATGCTGAATTCTGCAGGCACCAGACCAGGCTCCAGGTTCCACTCTCCATGAAGCAAATGTTCTTAACCAGTGGGTCTGACTGGAATTTTTTCCCCCTCTTTGAATGACTGAGCAATGTTTTCAAACCAAAATACAAACTACAGCTATAGAAACAAAGATTTAAAAAACACTCTTGCTATATATCTGCCTTACCCAATGCCTTGATGAATATCTTGGCAGGCCAATGTTCTCTAGTGCAACTCTCTGCAGACATCTGTGTGTCCAATGTTTTCCCCCAAACAGCTCTGTGACAAATGCTGCTGTCTTGTTTAACCCTGAGAAAGTACTTCCACCCAGCAATTTCTCTTCCCCTGTGATTTTTACTTTGCCAATTTCAAAGCACAGGTTGGCTCTGTGAGCAGTTTAGTTTGCCCAGCTGCCTCTCCCACAGCTTTGTAAAGACAGTTCTATGTGTGCTGAGGCTCTTTACTATTAGTGGGGTCTTTCTGCAGTCAGCCTTGTTCATGTAACTGATAAATCATGCAGCAATTAAGAACTACAAATACACATCTACCTTGCTCCTTTCACCCCATTCTCTTAGGTTTTTTTTGCTATATTGGGCTATACAATGGACTAGCTCAGCTAAGAACTAAAGTCATTACATGCATTTTCAACTTTGGAAGAAGTCACTGCTGGAAATGAATATACTTAACATTAGGCTTATGAAATATTACACTTCTACTGAAATACATGATACAATATATAAACTACAATCTATTTGTGGTGAGTACTCACCTGAGCACTTTTTTGAAAGCCAGAATTGTACCTTTGGTTTGTATTCCATTTTTCAAGTAATAATCTGTTTGAGAGAAAGAATTAAAACAAACCCCAAAGAATTACAGCAGTTTTTCTTTGTTTAGCCATGTCCTTGTGTGACAGAAAATCTTCCCATTGAGGAGGTATAATGCATTTTAAAGCTCTTTGCAAGTACTTTTGCCTGCTATTACTATCAAAATGGTACTTTCTAGTTCTGGATTGGCAGTCAGGAAGGATAATAATGATGAAACATAATGATCAATACAATTGAATTGTCCTTCACTCCAAGTCTAGAAAATTCTCCAGTTCTGTTCTTTATGTAGCAGCCACTGGGAGTCAGATATTCTTGTCTTCCTTCCAGGAAATCAAAAAAACAAAGACTCTTGATAAATACTCACCTCAAAGATTTTGCCTGCTTTAAGAAACTTCTAGCTTTTGCTGCTTCTTTAGTAAGTATCTTTAAATCATGTCCTTCAAAGCAAGGGAAAACTGGATCCTAAAGACAGTTAAAATATTTTACTTTAACTTGCATCTATTTATTATTTTCCGTTTCTACCAACTTAATTAACTGAGCCTAAGCTCTAAATTTCCCTACTCCTATCTACTTGCAGGGAAGGTCTTGGTCTTACATAGGGAGAGCAGAGCAACTCGAGGTTGAACCTGGTTTGCTCACTAACATTTTTCTGCTGTGGCAAATTGAGGTCTCACACTGGAAGATTAACATGCTAAACACTTTATGAGGATTTTACAATTACTTAAATGAAATATGAGGTGGCAAAGGTATGAAGGCACAGTAAAAGCTAAAGTTAGGTTAAAAACCACAGTGTCCAGACACAAGACACATTTTTCACTTCTCTTTCAGAACCTATACTGCACTGTACACTCCTTGTATGGGTCTGGGCAGCTGACCAAGGCAGCCAGCAGAAAGGCAAAGACAGATACTAGGATTTGTCCTTTTGGTTTCAATGTGAAGTATCTTATGAGTCTTCTATTCTTTTTTCCTCATGATTTTTCTCTTTTAATTGCAGCTTGACTACTGATGAAGAACTAAGCTGAAATAAACAAAACCAAACCAATCCATTTAACATACATTTTCATCATCAATCCCTTCTGTCACCATTCTGTGTGCTGCTAATTGTCCATCTTCTCCTCCCAAGCTGCAGTGGTAGCGCCCTCCTGTCTGGGAAGCAAGTTTCCTCAGGAATTCTTTAGCTCCTCTGTCAACAAAAAAGTACAAAGTTACTTATGAGAATTATTTCTTTCAAAGCAACAGAAAAAGAATTTCTAAGAACTCCTCAAAAACATGACATCAAAACAAACAGTTTGGAGGATATGACTATAAACTTTTGTATGAAATGTAGGCCATGTGGCAATTACCTGTGTCAGAACAACCTTTTCCATTCCCTTCTTGGCAACACAGACTTTTGACAATAAATAAACTATTAAAGGTTATTTTGTTGTTCTTGTAAAGTATCATGTACCTGTCTGCACAGCTAAAAGAAATGGTGTGGATTTTAATGCCGTGTTTCTTTCTCAAACTTTCGGTTTCTTTCAAAATCAGACTGCAACTGGTGTCTGGTTTTCCATCAGTCAATACATACAGTGCCTCTACTCCTTGGAAACCAAGGGCCTTCTGAAAAGCAGAAAGTAAGCTTAAATAATCAGTACATCTATATGGAATGTTATACTTCAGAACAAAAACACCATTCCAGTGATTTAAGGTAGCTTTATATTTACCACATCATCAATCAGCTTAGTGTTGTCCTTTCCTTTCCACCAAGTATGATAGAGGTCAAGGATATAAATTTGAAAGATAAAGTAGAAAGTTTATTGCATAAGACAATGTATTCGTAAGCAGATGATCATCAAAAACCATCTCACTGAAGTGAGCAAACTGACTGGTTTTGGAAAACTGCTGGCAAAAGATTTTTACATAACATTTTGTGGCAGTTAAAGGTGTTTAATACCTGAAAATCAGCCTCACTAGGGCTTGGACTTTTTGTACTATGAAAATTTGCTACAGTAGTTGACTCAGTGGACATCTTTGTATTGGAGACATGCCATGCAGTTCTACTGGATTTGATCCATGATGAATTCCATAAAATTCATATGGAGATTGTGCAAGGGTGTCTGAAAGAAGAATCACTTTTAAAGCCACATTTCTGTTTTGATTAAAATGTTATATTTCATGAAATTTCAAGCTCTTTCAGTCTCTTTTAAATTTTTACTACTAGTGAATTTTTACACTGAGACTTTCTACAGCAGAAAAGTTTCTTCACCTGTTACTGAAGATGGAGAGCTGTACTCCAAGCCCATGTGATACCAACAAACACTGTTTCTTTAAATCCCTTTTGGCTCAGAGCAGCAGGTCAGTCACAGCTGTACATAAACGTAATTTTAAGCAACTGGCTATTTTCTCTCTCCAGTATTCACTGAGCATAAGTATTATTCCAACTATTGATATTTGATGTTTTTTAAAACTCAATGTGAGTAATTAATTCTAGTATCTATGAGTCCTGGGGGCAGAATCAGTGGCTTGATTTCAAACCCTTCAGTGCTTTTCATACAAAAATGTTGTATGCTTTGACCTAATAATTTTCTTAAAATGCTACCAGTCAGGTGGAAGTGTTTTATCACCACAAGGCACAATGTCTTCTCTGAGCTGTGGTGCACTAACCTGTAAAGCTGTAAGTATGCACGTGCTACCATGAGCATGGAATTTGGAAACCCACTGCACAGCATCGTGACATGTTTCATCAGTTGCCTCTACAAGATAGTCCTTCCAACTCTCTGTATTCTCTGCAAACCTCAGCAGGTTAAACCTGAGGAGAAAGACAGCCCAGTACATGTAACCCTAACCAATACAATGAGTCACTTTGGATAAGCTGCTTTGAAATAAATAAATACAAAATTTAAACAAACCCAACATAAAAAAACCCCCAGCAAACTCAAACAAACCTCCAACCCAAGAGCCTAGTGTTGGATTCAGGTCTTCAACTCTGGCAGAGTCAGTGTCTCACTCTGCATGAACAAAAAACCTAAGGGAATGCTGAGTCCAAAAGGGTAAACAGCTCAGAGGCTCAGATCTTACAGAACACAGAACTAAAAACTGGTTTAGAAGAAGAACAGAAAAAGTAGTTCATGTCACATTCACATTATGCTTTAAAATTCAATAATTACTTGAACTCTGATTCAGTACTATATCACTTGCAATTATTAAGCAATCTCAATACATACTAACAAGCAGTGCACATTTCAGTCTTTATCAGTAATTCACCATACCTGACTTCATTTTTCCTCAGCTGTTCCCAGATAAGGGAGGTCAGTTCTTTCGTGATATGTGGCAAATGTGGGTCCATGGAACCAGATGTATCAATCAACACACAGACATTTCGTTCTAAAATGGTACCAAACAATCTTCGGCTTCCTGGGCCAGAACATAGAAACTGCTTAAGGGTCACTGCAAAGGCTTATTTTATTGACCATATTGTAAATCTTCAGTCTTCAGGAGTTACTGTGGGCACATTTCCACATAATTAAGGCTAACCTATGCAGCAACTAGGTAGTTAAAAGGACAACAATAAAAAAGTCTTCTGCCATTTCAAATCTAGCACTAACAAGCAGTAATTACTAGCCAATTGTAGCAAATCATATTAAATAATTTGTAGTTTCTACTTCACAACCAGCAAAAATTTCAACTGTTTCCCAACAAAGATCTTTATGAGCAACAGAAGGATCAAAACACTTTTCACCAGCAGTGATGCTGAACATCTAAGCAGGGCACATTCTTAGCAAAAGAAAGAGAAAAGCCAATTTTCCTTGTATATATTACTGTATATATTCTGTTGACAGAAAGCTTTGACACCAGGAACCTTGTATTCATGAACACAACATGCAAAAAGCAAAAACTTGTATCACAGCCCTAATTGCTTCAGAGCAAATAGATGTTTAGCAGCTACAGAGATGTCAACGAAATGCAAAACAGACATAACCTTTGTTCATACTTGAGGTTTGGATTTATTCTGTGAAAAACAGGAGACAAGAAGATTTTATGTATGCTTAAATTGTGCTTTATGGACCAACAGATACACAACAATACCTGACAGAAGCCACTGTATTCTCTGAACATAGCGCTGCAGCACCTGCTCCAGTTGCTCCATGTACATTTCCAGTTCTTTAGGTTGAAACTGCAGATGTTTCACAACCCCCTGGAAAAATTCAGTTTGTACAAGAGCATATTACTTCAGGAAATCTAAATAGCTCAGCTGCTATACATGCAATGTTAGTGTTAGATGAGGGGTTTTGTCTTTAGCTCTATGAAATAGCGTAAGAAAAATCCTGTGACTCTGTTCCTGCTAAATAACTTGGTTACCCAAATCAGCAAAACCTAGTGCTCATCTCAGCCAGTTGTGCTGGGCAACAAAATTAGACAATTTGATTTGACAGGTGCATCTGCTGCATTATTGATGACAGTTCTGTAGATATAATAGAGCAATAATGCCCTGGACTTAATTTTTGTGCTTCTCCCCAGTCATTGCACAAACCAAACCAATCAAGTTCCACCATTTCCCCATTTTGACTCACACATGATTTTCCACACTGTTTGAGCAGAGATGTTAAACACTCTAAAGATCCCATGCAGTTTGTACTTCAAACATACCAAATGTTTTTTGTGGTGAATTAAAGACCTTCTCTAGCTTTCTAACAGAAGAGTGATTTCCACAGCACAGGGAAGAGCAGAGGAACATCACACTAGCAAGCCACAAACATTGACCAACATGCATTTTCTAGAACAAATACAGAGCCTTTCAGTGATGTAGGTACATGCCATCTGCAAAAGCTTACATTGATTTCTGCACTAGGGAAGATAGAACAGTATTTTGCTGATACTTTCTTGTGCAGAATCTCCACAGTTTTGTTTCGGTGTGTACAGCTGGGACCAAACATCAGTTTGGGCAATTCCAGTCTAAGCTTTTTAATACTGTATTTGGTCAGCCACTTGTAAGACAAACAAAAGGAACAATTAGTTGTGGGCAAATATTAGAACAGTTTAAGTAATAATACATTGTACAGAATCACAATTAACATGTTCCCATTAATTCAATGGGTAGTTCCAAAATGTCAGGTTTTTAGTAAGGAGAAAAATACCTTTTTGCTTGAACAGATTTCCTCTTCTTTTGGCAATGTAACAGAGGGAACAGATTTTCTTATGCGCTTTATCTGTGGATACTTCTGATAGACTGTACCTAGTTAAGAAAATGAACAGCTAATACTGAGAGCTCTAGGTAAAAATCACAGCCCTTTTGAATCACATATGACTGGTGATTAACAAAACCCAACCAACCAAAAAAACCAAAGTGCCAAATCTCCAAACCCACAGACCAGTATTTCCTAAGAAATTCCACATTTGAAGCTATACCTATTTATATAAGATATCTCTATATATCTAATATCTGTATCTATTTTAATATCTCTATTCTATATATCAAAGTACCTAAAAAAAACCCCAACTTCTTTTTAAAATCTAACACCTTTGAAAAATTCCAAACCAAATCTTCTGTAGTTATCTAAACCATGATGACAGCAATTTTCCTTAGAGCATCTTTGACCAAAAGATCGCAAAGGACTTTACAAAAACAGCAACCAATAAGCCAGAAAGAGCCACTCACCCCCACCTAAATCAACCCCCCTTGCCACTCTTGGAAAAGTGCAACTCCCTTCCTCTCACTGTTTGAAGCAAACTGGTTATCAGGGACTTAACATCCTGACAGTTTCTAAATGTGTTATTTTGTGCTCAGTTCTTTGCCCTCAGTTCAGGAGGGATACTGAGGTGCTGGAGCAGGTCCAGAGAAGAGCAACGAGGTTGATGAGGGGACTGGAGCACAAGTGCCATGAGGAGAGGCTGAGGGAGCTGGGGGTGTTCAGCCTGGAGAAGAGGAGGCTCAGGGGAGACCTTATCACCCTCTACAACTCCCTGACAGGAGGTTGGAGTCAGGTGGGGGTTGGTCTCTTCTCCCAGGCAACAGCAGCAGGACAAGAGGGTACAGACTCAAGCTCTGCCATGGGTGGGTTAGGTTGGATATTAGGAAGAAATTTTTTTATGGAGAGAGTAATCAGACATTGGAATGTGCTGCCCAGGGAGGTGGTGGATTCACCATCCCTGGAGGTTTTCAAGACGAGACTGGATGTGGCACTTAGTGCCATGGCCTAGTGACCACGGTAGGGTTGGACTCGATGATCTTGGAGGTCTTTTCTAATCCAGCTGATTCTGTGATTCTAAAACAATAATGCTGGTAAGAAAAGGGCTACACCCATCCCATCCTGGTAACACATACCCACATTTCTTCCTTTATCGGTGTAAAATACCGACACAGAAAGCTCTGGCTGCTTCCCTGATTTCTGCTTTCCTGTACTCTCAGTCTGAGTCCTTTCTTTTACTGCTCGTGCTACAAATAAATAATAAAGAAAAAATGCATTAACTTACTTCAGCTAGATTAAACCCTTACATGCAACCCTGATCTTCACTTCAGATATTCCTATTACCATAAACAATTCGTTTTTTCAGATACTGGTTAAGAAAAATCCAAATTGCAGAACTACTTATGCTGCTTTTCTAGAAATGGAACCAAACCCTTCACAAATGCATAAATTACCATCAGGAAGAATGTCACAGGAGTTAATTTGAGAAGATTAAGGGTTTAAATAAGCATATTTGTTGGAAAACACAATTAACTTGTACAGAACACCTCATATGCAAATATGAATCCAGATTTGTAAACACTGCTTCATACCAGCAATTCAATTTCAGTAAATCACTAGATTTGAAGACCCAAATTTAATGCCAAAAAACCAAATAAAAATTATAGATGTTAGCAAAGATGCAAAGAAAAACCACAGTAAAATTGCAAAAAATTGGAGGAGAAATGAATGTATCTGCGCTGTCAGTGCATCTGGGGATGGAGCTGAGGCAGGGGAGAGCCAGACTGGATGTTAGGAGAAACGTTTTCCCTTTTAGGGTGTTCAGTCACTGGCATATTGCCCAGGGAGGTGGTGGAGTCACCATCCCTGGAGGTGTTTAAGACGTGCCTGGATGTGGTACTGAAGATATGGTTTAGGGTATAGGGGTTACAACATTGAGAGGTTAATGGTTGGACTTCATGATCTTAGAGATCTCTTCCAACCCTGATGACGCTATGAATTGGACTTTTAGGGACCAACAGTAACTGGTATTAATTTAAGAGTTCTTCATATGCCAGGAACAGTTGGAAGAGTCTTCAGATAACTTGACGTTTGTCATTTCCCTTGAAATCACAACTTGACAGCTGTAATTTCCCTTCATTACTAGATGATAAATAAATCAAGTGGAACAGCGTATTAACTACAATGGGATCTAACAGCATTAGTTTAGATGTCTATGTTGAACTAATAACATAATAAACCTCCTATGGTTTCAGGTATGGACAAGGATGGTTCTTCTTTCCACCACACACACTGGAAGTTTCCTGATACAGGACAGGTATTCAACCACATCACCTGGAAATCATCACACAGCTGTGCAGTGTTCTTTCCTGGAAATCATCACAAAGCTCTGCACTGTTCCTTCCTGGAAATCATCACACAGCTCTGCAGTGTTCCTTCTTTGCCCCACATAGAAGCAAGTAAGATACCTCACAGCTAAAACTCACACCAAGTGAATTTCAAAACAATCACAATGTTTTCTATCAGTCTGATTGAAGATTAAAATTCCAGGTGTTTCTGAAAACTTCAGTTGAATCTCTAATTTAAATGCTGTCTTTTAAGCAAACCCCAAAAGAAACTGAGGACAAAAATCCCTTAATCCATACAGACCAGGTGGAATTTCTGCTTTGGCACTAGGAGGACGCCAGGCCAGTACTCTTACAGAAGTGTTTCTCTCTGCACCATGGTTGTCTTTAACAGCCTAAAAGCACACATAATAATAAGAAAAGTAAGAAGTGTTTCAGTTGGATCATAACAGCATTATGCAAAACTAGAACCATCCTTCATTATTCTCTAATTCCTGCTTTACCTTGGCTTTCCTGACAAGTCAGCACACTGCCATGACAACAGGTTAATTTGCAGTTTCTTGCGAGGTTAAGTAACTCTAATTGTTTTGTTTTAATTATCTTGCCAATCTAATCTCCTGCCATAAAACTGAAGACTGACATCTACAGACAGAAGAGTTTGCACTATTTTTGCCACTTGAAGGAGCAGTTTAGTATGGTAAATGGCACTGTGTCATAGAATACAGTACATGGTATTTTCCTCAGCATTTTATTGAACACTGGAAACCTAGTGCAGACCCCAGTAACTTCTCCTTTAGGTATGGCTCATCCCTCTAGGGGCTGAGCAGGCTGCTAAACAACACAAGCACTTGCTTACCCCACTGTAGGATAAGACTTTTGCTGTCACACTGAGCCTTCATGTGACTGACATCTAATTTAACATACAGCTCCGCTATGAATATCACCAAACATCTACAGACTGTGCCAGTTCTCTACAAGTTTAATCCCTGCAAAACTGTGCTAGGGAGTCACCTTTGAGCAATTACTATTTCCCTGCATTTGTGAAGAGGTGTTAAAAAGGCTACTTTTGATAAAACAGCATAGAAGACCTGGTCACCTTACCTACAAGGTCTTTGCAACAATACAGCTCCGCTATGAATATCACCAAACATCTACAGACTGTGCCAGTTCTCTACAAGTTTAATCCCTGCAAAACTGTGCTAGGGAGTCACCTTTGAGCAATTACTATTTCCCTGCATTTGTGAAGAGGTGTTAAAAAGGCTACTTTTGATAAAACAGCATAGAAGACCTGGTCACCTTACCTACAAGGTCTTTGCAACATTCCCACACTTCCTGTTCCGTTCCCTAAACTCCCACACCTACAATGCTGTTCCCATTTCAAAGATGAGACCTGAAAATTCCAGGCAAAAGGTTAAGTACATCCTCTGCAACAGGAATCTAGTCATTTGCACACCAAAGTGGTAGGCCCTGGCCCTTTAGGTATCTTTCACATTTGCACACCCACCCAAACCAGATGTCTGCACAGCCAAAACTGACAAAACATTAACAAAATCCCAAAGGACTTAGTAGTGTAGCTCCATGGAAAAAGCACAGAGGGCAGGAAACAAATCCTGAATCCTGCTCTTGCTTTATGCTGGCTCTCTGTGAGGCCAAAGATGCTACTGAGCTGCAGCTGTCTCAGCTGTAAATGAGCAGAACACCATCAAATTCAGCACCTTCTAGGAGGACTTGTAAAATAGATGTAATTTGGTAAAGAACATTTCTGCTTTGTCTTTGTTTTCATCGAACATTACATTTTTAAGGTCAGAGAAAGGATTATTTAAACACCTTTAGAATCATAGTGTGGTTCCATTGCAATTAATTAGCAGGAGTTAATGAGATGCAATTTGGGTAGACACAGCATTTTGAATGCAAATGTAAATTCAGAGTACTATCACAGTGCTGGTTTAATTCCTTCAGATTTTCCGCTGAGCACTTCTCTCATAAAGAGCAGCATATGATAGCTGGGTAGGATCTCTAATTAACACACAGCATATTAAAAATGGGATCGTTTCAAACCATTCTAGCCAGACTCAGAGCTGTGGGTTTAGGAGATGGCAACTTTTGGGGCCTTCTTTTGTCTTGCTTCATAAGCACATTTGAGTCTCCTTCTGGTAATGGATTCACAGACTGATTTCCTGAACATTGCTTCAAGGATTGCACAAGGAAAGCACACTGAAATGGAAATTCACATTGTTTAGTAGTTCATATATGTAAAATGTAAGTAAATCAGCTAGTTTGTATATATTACTTCAATAATACATTACATTCATATCAGATTTATTAATCTGATAATGCTTAACACCTCTAACTGAAGAGAAACCTCTTTGTGCTGTGCTTGCTAAACACACCGGACAGAAATTGTTCCTGCTCTGAGCAAACATTCCAAAAAAAAGGCAGCAGTATATGTACCAATGCCAGAGCAAATTGGAGATGATGAACCAAATAGAGGCAACTGTTAAATGATAACAAAAACTTTAATAAGGCATTGAATATCCACTGACTCTTCTTCAAAAAACAATTTCCATATTTACTCTCTGGTGACTATTCTCACATGTTAGACCATTCCAGGCTATCTTACAAGGTTGTTCATTTTGTCCAATCTCCTGCACTGCCAGCTGAACAACTGGGTTTTTTTAATGAACAAATACAAAATGTTAAAAATTATATGTAAGTCATACCTTTTGGGAGTAATTGTTTGCTTTTTCCATTTCAGACACAATATGAGTGATATCATCACTTTCAAAAACACCTGATAATCAATGAGATGTTAATCAGTGTGGAGTTTTAAAGTGTAGAAAATATATATATTAAAATGTACAACAATTTGCAGAATATGCCAAATATCAAGAAGACTTTGTCTCCTGCAAGTCTCTGGACCTACCATGTTAGTAACTGTGTTTTAAATGCACATCTTGAAAAACATTTAACAGAAAATGGTGAATTCAAATAGAAAAAAATCAAATTCCTGCAGTATAATATTCTGCAATGCAACTGAAAGTCTCAATAAATCTACAACCTGTGTTTTTATCTCAGGGCTGGTATAGCATTCTCACATCCTTAGAAAAAAGTAAACTACATGATTTGGGAGCAAAAAGGCATGAATAAATATTACTTCATTAATTACAAAGAAGCATGCAGCAACTGTCCTTTCCACATACCTGCTTCTCCAAACCAGTGAAATCTCCCCTTGGCTGCCTGCACTATTTCTTTAAAGGCATTGGCAGTTTCTGTCGGGTTAGCATAGCGAGCTGGAATAATCCCAGTGGAGTCAATGTCCTTCATTACACTGGACAGACAGACATGAAGCTGTAAATCAAAACCTCTGCAAACCTCAGCCACGTAAGCACTGACTGTGTGCTGTAAGACAGAGAAAAAATCCCTAAGTAGTGACTCTACCTCAGAGAAGCTTCCATCTACGCCACTGGTTCCTCAACTGATGTACAAATCCTGCACACAATCTGAGCAATTCAGTGCAGGAACATACACTGAGTGGACAAATACCTCCTTGATTCATGCATAGACACAATAACTGCCACTACAGCTAGTGGCAATGGCAACAGCACTACTGCAAGCAAGAAGTGAGATAGGGTAGCTATGAGAACCAAAGAAGAGACCATGGACTTCAACTTAGCCATGCACTGAAGCAAAGTACTAGAGATGAAACTATTCATTTGGCTTTTAATGGTTTCCCAGTTTTGCCCAGAGTTTCCAGAGTATTGATAACATAAGCAAGAGACACCTTACAGTACACATGTGATCAGAAACTCTAGGCTGTGCATATGGCTTAGCAGCCACAGAGCACATGCACTACAAAGAGGTATCCAAGCAAGGGAGTACAGTTATTAAAAACAGGAGCTGCCTCTACATAGTGTACTATGGAGTTCCACTGTAAAGTTATTTGTGTCTTTGTTCCCATGAGTTACATCCAAATGATCCCAAATGAAAACTCAAAGTTGCCTTGTTCAGACTCAGCAATGTGCAGTGAAATGATGGCCAGAGCTGGAGTGGGAAAGGAATCCTTAAAGCATGTTTTGGATTTTTTATGGCTCACACATTATTAATAATTGCTGCCCCAAACACATGAATAGCAACTGCAGAAACAGAAGTTTGTGCTCCTGACAGTTGTGCTGCCTTAGGCATGTAAAGGAGGAGCATTCTGCCAATGAGCTAGGATGACTAGCCAAAAGGGAAAAAAGGAGAGGAAAAACAAGGGAAAGAAAATAAAAGTTGAGATTAATTCTGATAGGAATTTACAGAAGAGTTGCAAAACCTATGAGGATACTTACTGTTTCCTGATCAGGTATTCCAGTAGTCAGCAGGTAAAGTCCTTGTGATGTGTGTTTATCTCTGTCTTTGAAGTCTACTTCCACAGCTCTCCTGAGTGCACTCATGAAATTTCTACTGCCCTTGCACTGCAAGCGCAACACCCACCTGCAGTTCAAAGGGTGAAGAAACAAAAGCTCTTGTTTCTGCTTACAGCAATAAAGAGAATTAAGAAGCTTAAATAACATTGCAGTGGAGTCTAAAACTTTTAAGAAAGATAGAGAGCAAAACCAGATTTTGCCCAGGGATGTGATGGTTGATCTGACTCTGGCAGTGTTTGAGCCCAGGCTGGATGAAGCCTTGAGCAACCTGATCTAGTGAGAGGTGTCCCTGCCCAGGGCAGGGGGTTGTGACTAGATGATCTGTAAAGTCCATTCCAACCCCTAAATTCTATGATATAATGGCCTAGATTATTTGTTCTAGTTTCTGTACTGCCACCATGGTAAATCCATTTTTAAGGCAGAATACAGAGCATAGAGAGGAAAGAATTCTCTCTCAATTTCATGTGGATAAATGTTATACAGCAGAACTTACAGAAATAAAAATTAAATCAGAGGTGTAATGAAAACACTGAGGGTGTGACTCCACACACAGAAATCTGGGGGTTTTTTTCCAAAGTATCCAGGCAAAACCCCCATAGTTTAGCTTTCACATCCCAGTAGTATTTGAAGCAGTTTTCAATTCTTCATGTGACCTGTGCATTTCTTACACCTCTGCATCAGTGCATGGATATATTGTGTATACATATGAAGTACAAAGTCATCTTAAACAATGGTGTTTTCACAACAGAGCACCATGAACAATCAGTGTAGAACATTTTTGCAATACAATAAACCTTGAGATTTTTTTTTAATTGTTCACAATTGTTCTCTGTTCTATCTGTTTCATGGCACCTGTGAGCAATTCACCTACATGGGGTAGTTACTGAATCCTACCTCCAAGCCTCTTCTAAGTTTTCTGGTTGGCAAGGAACCAGTTCCTGCTGCCACGGCACAATGTCACTCCCAAATCTTTCATGGAAAGACAACAGCAATTAATTTTCAGATTATGGGTTAGAACACCAAAAAGATTCATAATGTTATGGACAATAAAGCAGGAAAGTATTTGTTACAGGTATGATGCAATCAGTTCCAGTGAGCCTACCACCCTAAACCTAAATCTGGTCTCCATGCATCTGATCCATGTGCTCACCCAATAAAGACAAATCAGTGCTACTCTTGTAATTACTTCACTAGAAAACATTAAATGCAATTAAAAATGTCAAATATGCCCATTAGTACCTCCAATCTCTCAGCACAGTTCTCTCTTTGCAATGCATTACAAGTATTAAAAAAGAATCTTAACTAGTTCCTTACGCTATAATATTGAAGTAATCCTTGTTTGCCATTTGCTCCTCAAGTAGAAGTCGCATAGAATGTTGGATGTGGTTGATGTATGCAGAGTTTGTCACTGATATGTCAACAAGTATTACCACCCTATATAAGAAATATGTTATTCATGAAAAAAAGGAAAAAATCTTATTGAATCATGTATTTTTATCTTCACTGCACTGAACTTGCCAGGGAAAATAACTTCTACGTATGGATCAAAATGTATAAACACTGAATCTGTATTTAAAACAGTTCTTCAAAATACAGGATGAGATTTTAGAAAAATAGTAATGGTAATGGAAACTTTTGTCTTTCTTAAACTGTGGAATAATCAGGGGACGGGCAACATGCAGTGCCATAATGGCTGCTGAAACCTAACCAGGTCCTCTTGCTTCTCTGTATTTGAGCATCTAAAACCTATCTGAGGTGTGGGGATGTTAGCCAGTGAGAAGAGCTCTTGATTGTTCACTGTCCTTCCCCCAGCCATCATTCCAGGAACATATGTAATATTGCTCCAAAGAGAAATGCTAAGTTTTCTCCCAGCAGCTCAGTGCCAGCCTGGTTGCTCAGGTATGGACTGATTGATGTTATCTGGCACGTTACATCTTTTGAGAAAAAGTGTTAATGATGACCTTCTCCAACAGGGTCAGTGTTAAGCCTTGCTTGTAGAGACAATGCAGGATGGTTGCAGTTAATGGACAGGGATATCCCAGGAGCAGTGGTTATGGAAACAATCACAGATGTGATGGACAGTCAGTGGAACATGAGTTCCAGCACAGTGTAGTGGCCAGATGGGCTAATTCAATCCTTAACCAATGAACAAGGAGATCTCCATGAACAGTGGCCTCAGCTATGTTCCTCTTGTCTGAAACATCACATTCAAGGTTTGTAAAAAGGACCAACCTAGCAATTGTGCAATTGAGGTTGGGTAAGGGCTTAGATACAATGTAATTAAACATCATCCCCAAACACATAATTAGGTGAAGACTTGAAATCTCACACACACAAAAAAAAGGCTGTCAAATACAATACCTCCTTTCACAAACACTTCCCCATATTCTTCTGCTAGCAGCAGACAGCCAGGCAATTCGTTTCTCATAGATCCTTACCATTTCAGCAAGGAGTTTCTAAGGATGAAATAGAGAAAATTTAAGCTGAAATTAAAAAGCTCAAGTCTTTTATTGCCAACTCTTTAATACAGAAGTAATATGAAAGCATAGCGATGAAAAAAAATTAATTATTTTCTTCATTGGCAGCAGCATTTCATTCTTAGAAAAGATAAGAGAATACAGTCTAGGAGAAAAAGATACAATGACAGAAAAGCAACGAAGAGTCTAAGGTTTAAGCACTCCACTTTTCCCCTTGCTAGCACATCCAAAATAGTGGTCAAGCATATTAAAGAAGAAAAAAAAGTTCTTGCAAGCTTACCATTCCTTCAATAGCATTTTTAGGCAGCGTTCATCGCAAAACACACCATTTAAAATAAACACAGTAATTTCAAACACATATCAGTCTTTAACACAGTATTGATTGGACATTAAGGCAGTTTGTCCAAACTCTGTAGAACATGCCCTTGGCAATTATGTGCAGGCATTGTAGGAGGGAATATCAGGCTAGGAAAGGCCACTGAACTCAGAAATGCAGCTCTAATTTAGCATTTTGGAGCACAAAACAGGAGCATCTACCAGTGGGCAAGGAGTCACAGAAGCTGCTTTCCTGTCAGTCACTTTACACTCTCCTTTCTGGAGTTGCACAGATTTTAAATCCCTCCCATTCTAAAGAAATATCTGTCCTGCTTGGAAACATTCCCACAGCACTTTTTCAGGGTTGTTAATGGAGTGGTAGAGGAGAGAGAAAAGAAAAAGAGCTAATAGACCCTTAGCAAACACACCCTGGTTGCAAATATCCCCAAACAGCTTTTATTTCCTTAAACTTGTTCCACTCCCTGATGATCTGCATTCTGATTTAGGGAGAACTCCTCAAGAACCACTGCTGCCTGTAGGAATTTCAGTGGCTGCAGACTTACCTGGACAGCTCTCTGCACATGAATCCCTGCAGTACTTATGGAAGAAGACAATTAATGCGGAATAATGAGATGGTAATCCAGCCGTGACAAGGCCACATCACTATAGACAACTCACCTGATAGTTATACAATACTGGCAGGTCAATGTGGACATTTTTCACAGTTCCATTATACCACTCCAACTGCATCATCACTTTCTAGGAGGATAAATAATGGTGTTAGCTGTTTATAGAAGCAAATAAGCTACACTAACATGGGATTTCTTCCTGCACCATTCTTAAGAACAGCATAAGTATTTGATTTGGATCTGTGACTTAAATTTCAGTCAAAGCCTGTATAATTTCACTGACTTATAAAGTACTCACTTTAACTAGAAAAATGGAGCAATAGGAAGGAAAAAAAAAAAGCAAACCCAGGGAAAAATAAAGTTCCTCATCACTTACCTCATGCAGAGTTGATGACACTCTTTTTTTAAGAATAGGTACAAACTCTTCCACAGGAGAGTAAGCATTGGGAGCCAAAACTTGATAGAGGTTTAACTTTTTAGCTATAGAAACAAACAAATATATTAAATAAAACACATTGTCTGTAATTCATGTATCATACCTGTTAAACTTTCTTTCTGTGCTACCTTTCAATCCATACGTCTTTAACCAGTCTGCTGAGGTTTTGGCCAAGATGCATGGGGTTTGAATGGCTAATGGTCCTTCCTGCTTTGGAGGCTTTGGGAAGAAGCTGGAAGGTGCTGGATTTGTAAATTCTGTAGAAACCTAAAATGGATTTAAAGAAAAGATCTTGCAAATCTTAGTATCATCTTTTTTTACCCTCAAGTAAGACTATCCCGCATGAAATACTGGTGAACATAATTAAAAGTGAAGTGCTGGGATTTCAACAAGCAAAACACTTTGAAAACAGTTATCATTGGTCCTCCTAAAAATGGGGCTGGAGAAGAATGTTCTGCTATCTGCACTGTGTCTGCCACAATGCAAAAACCCACAGAGGAATGAAAACATCCTGGTTATAAATACTGGCAGGAAAACAGACAATTGTTTCTCTAAGGAAAAGGATCTTCATTACACATAGATCAAATCTTGACTGCTCTATTTTCTACCTGCACCATACAGAGAGTCAAATGAAGCACATTCTACCTTCATTCACACCAATGGAAACAAAATAAAAACTCCAGTGGGGCACTAGTATTCTTTTACTTCACCAAGGGGTGAGAGATCTTTGTTTGATGAATGGACAGCAGTTTGTGGTGTTTTCTTAGACAGAAACTGTGACTAGTAAGTTGCTGCTGTGACATGTTTTATTTGGGTTATAGAACCTCCTTAGTCAATTCAGGGCGACTTCTGCTCCATGTGTACTCTACACAGTCCTTAGGAACTATGAGGTTGGAAGAGAGAAGGAAAAAATCTGTATGTATGGGTATCAGAAGTAGAAATGCTATTCAAAAATGATTCACTGGACCTCTGGTATATTGGCCCAGTAAAGCATAAAATAGAAACATTACCAAGAGAAGTGTTACAGAATAAATGATGCCAAATCCTCATGGCAAGATAGGACCAACACAGGGACAGATGTGCAACACACAGGCTGTAGCTCCCTAACTGCAACTCCAGGAACAGATCTAGACAAGCCCTTACGAGTTTGTAACTGATTTAAATGTCCATCTAAATCATGTAGGAATAAGTATTGTTTTACCAACTGAAAGGACTGTTGGAACTTCATTTAAATGGTCATGCATACAGCTAGGCTAGTCATTCCATTGATTTCCATTACTATCACAATACAATGTTCTTTTCATGCATTTGGGAGAATGTTCAGCAAAATGTCTCCTTTACTGGTTTGGCCTTAATTTGCTCTTACAAGAGAAGCTCAACACAGAATATTCACAGTTCACTAATCAAAATACCGGATTAATCACATACATTTTTTTCATATTGTGCACACTCAGGATTTCTAACACTTCTTCAAAGTACATCTGGAATGAAAAAGACACATACATCTGCTGTTCTACTACTTGGTGAGCCACCAGTTCTTTGAGAAGCCTGTTTGATGCTCTTCAGTAGGTCTTCAGCCTTCTGGAATTCCTGAAGTAGCAGATGAAAATCACTGCTATCAAAATTCTGCACATATAAACACAAAGGGAGAAAAGGAAGTCAACAACTAGTCAAACACCAACTCAACTCAACTTTCTTGCTCTGATGCGCACATACCTACACAAGACTGCCCAACATAGCAGAATTGAGTGCAAGTGTATCCAATGCACTGCACGGAAATTAGTCATAATTTTATAAACAAGATATTACTTTTCTATTTTGAACCAGTCTACAATAAGCCACAGCTTTCATCAGCTCTAAGTCAGTAAACAATATCTCCAAAATTTATTGCACTTTTTGGAAATATTTGCATTTGCAGAAAGAATTCACCACAGGTTTATTGACCACATCCTCAGCACTTATATGGCAGAGACTTCAGGCTCCAAGTCTTGCTGTCAACTTCTACTCAGAAGATAATTAGCTTGCAATCTCAAAGTGAAGAATGCTCAAAAAGAGAGAAAAATGGTTTGCCTCTCTGGCTGTCACCTACCTCTTCCTTTGAAGAGTAGCAGTGATAACTGCCTCTTACAGCTCCAGCAAGGTTCTTCAGAACTGCCTACAGATGGGAATGGGAAGAAAAGCAGTTACTTTGATTTGGTAACCTCTTTAGATAAGTGGGTTGTTGGTATTCAATTCTCAATTAGAGACAGAAAAAGAATCTTTGAGGTACACTTAATGAGAAAGCCAAAGTAACTATGTTTCCATCATTGGCTTTCCAGTCTGATTTTAATAGGGCTGAAAAACTCAGTAAAGAAAGTTACAAGATGATACTGCAAACAAATTTTTTTCATGTGTGCAAAACTGCTCTAAAGAAAATACAATTTTAGATCAAGAACCCTTTAATGACTAGGTTAGCTTCCCTACAGGTGGTGAGAGAAGACATTGCAGTTGAATAGGAAACAAGTGACAGGACACTTAAGGAAATTAACAGAATTACTTACAAGAGCAGCAGGATTGCTGCAATCATATATAACAGTGTGAGTCTGCAGTTTTCTCCCCAGCATACACTGCTGAGCATAATCAGACAATATTTCCAAAGACTGATCAGGGCTGATAGAAAAAGTAAAGAAAAAAGGTATTAATGATGGCAGCAATCAAATGAGGGAAAAGAAGGCCATATTGAAGGAGTCAGGGGGGGAAAAACCAAAGTGAGAAGGAAATAACAAATCATGGGAATGATTCAGTCATTAAGCATAACCTGAACTTTCTCACTTTCAACCATTATGAGGTACCACTACTGGAGTTTGGTTCAGTCCTGAAAACCTGAATGATACCAAAAGCACTAAGATTCTATTCTGAAGGATTTTTCTAGCTGTAAGACTAGACCTGGAAGACTCTCAATAGATTACTGCAAAGGAAAATTGTAGTTTTATATCAGAAAAGAGAAGATTCGTAAAGAGTAAAAGAGGGAATAAATAAAGGAATTCAATGGCATGAACTAAAAATACGTAAAACCTGGATCTCAAATTTTCTATTTACTTTTGTATCAAGTTCAGTTTCATGTACCAGTTCTGTACCCAAGTTAAAGCTGGTTGTTAGGGCAGACAAGGAATTTACCAGCTTCCTACAACAAGAACCAGGGAATTCAGTTCTTTGACTGTAAGGACATGCTTTAAGGCTTTCAGCAAATTGCAGCCTTGACCAGGCTCCAGTTCTTGGATCCACTGTCTTGCCTCATGTAGCCTAGGAAAAAAAAGAAGGAATATGTAGGCTTAACATGCAGGTGCTAAATAAGATAGATCATGAAGATTATGAATATGAAAATTACGATAGGTCATGAATCACAGGAGCTGCTAAGATATTTTCCACACGAACAACCAGCTTGAAATCACTGACCACAAATCACATTCATTGCTTTTTCTCCCCTCTTAAAATCACTGCAGGCACAAGGTGAAAAACTATTACCTACAGGAGATTGGTCTAATTAAATGGAGACCTTGTTTGAAACACCTTTATTTTCCAGAGAAATAAACTTACTTACACATGAATATTGATGGGTTTGGGGCTCTCCCACAGTGGTGAAATTTCTGTACTGAAGGAGAGGCAGTACAATTGCTTCTTGTAACAAAGCTGCTCATCTAGCAAGCACTAAGAAATAAAACATTGTGAATGCATTACTCTCCATGCTGCTTCTAATAGGCTTAGCATGTAAAAGACTAAAACCAGTCATTTCCTGAAAATAGCTGGCAACAGTAGCAGTATTTTCAGCTACCACTGAGAAAAGCTTCCAAGAAAAACTCACACAGATTGAAATATTTGTTAAGGAGTACAGAGACAAAACCTGCAAACCTATGGGATTCCAACCCATTTGTTAATGTGGCAGGAGCCACATATTTGTTGTGCTAGTATCAGTTTTCTCTTCAACTGATGAGCACATGAAACAATACTGAGCTAGAATAAGCACATTCACCCACCAAGCAATTACTAAGAGATGCTCAGTACATATTCATGGCTAAGGCTAAACAACAGCTCAGATATCAAGCAAACCAGACTACATGAAAATTGAGTTTTCTTGAAGGAGTTTCATTTGAAACACACAAATGAAAAATGCAGATATTATAAATCAATATTAAATAATTCCTGAATGTGGGAAATTAAATTGTACCAAGTGTCAAGTGTAGACAGTAAAACAGCTACATTGTATCTTCCTTGCTGACTGCAAACTTTATTGAAATAAAGAACACAATAAATAACAAATTTCTTTGGGGAAAAACACTTTCAAAGACATTTAGAAAATCCTTTTCTATAGCAGAAAATTTCTATGTTATTGTATATAATGAATTTAAGCAGATTTTTTTCCTGCTTGGTTCCTGGCTTGAGTTACATTAGCATGTTAGAATTGCCAAAGTTTGCTTTGTCATTACTTACCAGAAGGTACCTCTGGAAATGCAACAGTGTGGGGCCAGGACTCAGATGTGACACATCAACCATAAGTGCAACTTTGGTTCCTTTTATAACACCAAACACCTGAAAAGGGAAGTCATTGTAAATATTAGCTCAGCTACATTGGAATAAGTTTACTGTTTGTTCTGTATAAAACCATTTTAAAAGCAAGTATTAGGTATTTATTCTCATTTTAAGCTTTCTAGCATAAAGATGAGACAGTGACAAAGTCATGGAGGGGAAAGAAGGGTAAGGAAAGGGAAGGAAAGAGGAGAAAGGGGAAGCAAAAAGAAGGAAGGGAAAGGAAAAAGGGAAAGAAGAAAGAAGGAAGAAAGGAAAAAAGAGAAG